GTAACGGGTACAGGTCGATCAACAAGTACAGGTCGAGCTACATGTATTACTTGTGGACGTACAATAACACCTAAAAATATAAAACAAAATAGATGATTAGTTTACTATAATGAGTCAATAATAAATAATAACAACTTACGTTCACGTGGTACAAAAACAGGTTTAATAACTGGTACGTAAACATTACGTGGAACATACACAACATGAGGTGCACCTGCTGGTGCTTGTTGAACAGGAGCAGGACCAATTTGAGGTGTTGGTGTTCCACCAGCTATTTAAGATAATAAGAAAAAAATGAATAATTATTAAGAAATAAACTTGAATATATATATATATACTTTGTCGAGGCATGTAAAAGACGGGTTGAATTGGTTGTACGATAACTCGAACTTCGCCAGAACCAGATGGTCTTCTTTCTTCTACTTTAGATTCACCTGGATGTATCTGAGTTTGTGTACCGCCATCACGTCCAACCCATTGAATATCAGGTGCTTGTCCTCCACGTGGTACTATACGTCTGTAAATATTTTATAAAATGAATATATATATATATAGAGAGAGACACTTTACTCGATAGCAGCAAGAATTTCATCACGGAATCGATCAAAATCAAATCCTGGACCTTCTGCTGGTGTTCGTGAACGATGATGAGATCTGGAACGTGATCGTTCGCGTGTTTCAGACTATTTAATAAAAATAAAGATTAAAATAAATATATAATTGTAAATTGTTATTTAAAAGATAGAATACTTTATTTCGTTTTTGCCAAACTTCAATAATTGTTGGTCGAGCAGTAACATGTTCTAATGCTTGTTGATTTTGACTAAATATAATATATATTGAAATTAATTCTCTATTTCATATGAATGTATATTATAACTTACTAGTCTCCACAACCACTACCACTAACTTGTTGATATCCACCACTTGTACTACCGCCACTATTTGGTCCAAATATATAATCTGCAACAATTTGACATTGTGATGAATAACCTGCTGCTGGATTTGTTCCATAATTACTATATGCACCACCTGAACTAGTTGTTCCATATGCTATCATTAATGCAATAAATATATAAAACTATGATTAATAGATAGAAGAATACACTTACCACTACCATAACCACCTGAACTTGCTTGATAACCTCCTGTTCCAAGAAGTTGTCCAGTATATGGTAATCCACCTGTTGGACATGGACCACCAGGAGCAGGCGACAAAATCATTTGTTGCCAGCCAGGTGGACAAGGTCCTGAACTAGGTTGTTGGGCAGGTTGATGTACAGGCATACATGGTTGTGCATTTGAGCTTGCACCACGAGATGCTGAGCGAGCTTCTTTATTGATGCCTTGAACTTCGATTTTGCCCTTGTATTCATAGCCTGGTGGTGGTTCTTGTCGATGTGGACTATGGTCACCACGTTCAATAAAGATTAAATCTTCATTGATATGACCATAGCCATCAGCTCCAACCGAAGTATTACCATAGCCGTGACGTGATTGATGTGATGAATGTCCAAAGCCAGCTTGTTCACTATTATTATTGTTGTGATTATTATGATGATGATGATGACGACGATGTCGACGATGATGTATAATTTGACCCTCACTAGCCTTATCATCGTTTGTAGGTACTGGTGAACGTATATTTTGTCCTTCATCACCCAGTACACTTGATGAACGTTGACCGATTAACTGTCTATAGTAAAGAAAGAAAAAAACAAATTATTAAATAAAATCACGTATTCTCAGTAACATACTCAGGTACTGCTTGTTCAAGTTCAAGACCAGGTACTGGATTTCCTCCATCAGCAGTATGATGACGATGATGTCGATGATGACGACGACGACGTTTTACTAACTGACCAGCAGGACCAACGCCAAATGGACCTTGACCACCACCACCACCAACACCATAAGCAGCACCTTGAAAGTGATTTCCATAAGCATAATTATTACCAACAAATTGTGGTTGTTGTTGTTGTTGTTGTTGTTGTGGCTGATGATAACCTCCTGCAGCACCATATGGTACACCATAACCACCGCCAACTGGTACACCATCATCTACAAAATAAACTAATATTTATAATCAATTTAAATTTAAATTTTTTACTTGGTTGAAAATGATGATGATGATTATGATGATGACGATGACCATGTTCTACTTTATGTATTGATTCATCAAGGCTTATTGGTGATGCATCATTTCGGACTTTATGTTTGTGATGACGATGATGACGATGATGATGATATTGAGCAGGTACTTGTTGCGCACCATATCCTCCAGGCGCAAGTGGAATACCGCCAGCATTGGCGTAACGTGGATCAATCATTGAATGAATATTCAAGTGCAAAATCAAGTAAAAAGCAGCACTAGCCCAAAAACTGATCTAGAAAAAGAACCCAGTTCATTACTAAAATGTTCTTCGATTTTTTTTCAATGTTTCTATCATATCGAACTTTTTTTTTATCATTCAATTATCATACATTCGAGGTTAATGTTCAAAATCACAATTTTGCGGTTTTTCATTGTGGTCTATGTTAATGTAAATTGCATAAAAACGAACAAAAAAATCATTGAGTGCATTGGTGTGTGGCTGTTAACTTACCTTCTCGCACGCTCCGGCATATACAATAGATCAACTGCTATAGATGAAACATAACTATCATTATCATCATCATCAGTAACAAACAACGACGACGACGATGATGATAGTCGTCAATAATACTGAATAGATATTTCTGTATGTGTTTATGTTCGTTTAAACTACGTTGACGGGAGGGTAAGAAGACGAAAAAAAGAAATAAATGTGTAAAGCAAAAAGCAGCGACGACTATAACACATATCCTCTGCTTCATCTCAAGCGTATCGATCTTAATATGGTGAATATAAAAGAGCGAGAGCTAATGGAGAGAAAAAGAAAGGCAGAGACAAAGACAGAGAGGAGACAGAGAGAGCGAGAGCGAGAGAGAGAGAGAGAGGAAGAGGGAGAGAACGAAAAACACACAAAGTAGTATAGACAGATTAACTTTTGATATATGTGGACATTGATAATAAATAAAATGAATAATTGAAAATCGTCTGAATTCATATTTTGTAAAATATGAGACTTTCATTTATCTATATATATCTATATCTATATATACATATTTTATGTAATATTATCTAGTGTTCACATTATGTTAACTAACTATGCTCATATATGAATAACGAATACATTTTTTAAAATATTTGTATTGATGCATAACAAGGTCTTTCTTTAGAAAAGAATGAATACCCTTGATTTCAAAATCACTCAATACCGACAAAACCGGGTAATTATCATTATGATCAAAAACACTTGATAATGTTCTTCTAAAAAACTTATACTAATGATGTACTGATTTATTGATCAATACCGTTATCTATCTATATATATATATATAAAAAAAACGATCTAAATATTAGCCTACCTGTAGGATTTAATATTATATGATTAGATCTATCTTATTAAGATCTTAAAATGGTTCTTCTTTTTTTCCAGAACAAAAGAATTACCAGATAATGTTAAACAAACATGACTCATAATAAATTCAAAAAAAAGAAGTAGATTGTATATGTGTATAATATCTTTCTGTCGTATGTGTATACGGCTCATCTTTATGTTCGATACGAGTTGGCTAAACTACAAGAGTAGCTTCTTCTTCTTCTTGTTCTTCTTGTTCTTCTTCGTCTTTTCTTTTTTTGTCTTTGTATATATGATGATGCAGTCATGTGTGACCGACCATATCCTATACTTCTTTTTTT